AAAAACCCCCTTTTTTTTTTTTTTTTTTTTTTTTTTTTTTTTTTTTTTTTTTTTTTTTTTTCCTTTTTACCCTTTTTATAAATAAAAAAATAAAAAGAATTAAAAAAAAGAAAAAAAAAAAATAAAAAAAGGTAAAAAAAAGTAAATAAAAAAATAAATTTATTTTTTTCTTTTTTTCCTTTTTTTCTGTCTTTGCTCTTTCTGCCCAAAACACTCCCTTACCTCCATACGGGCAAACCCTAGCTAGCTAGCTAGCTAGCCGGCTAGCTAGCTAGGTAGCTAGCTAGCTAGGTAGGTAGCTAGCTAGCTTGTTTATTTATATTTATTTATAATTATAAGAAGAAAGAAGAAAGTTATAATTAATTATTTGTGTCTTTATAAAGACACAAAAAAATAAAAATGTGTTTATTGGTGGGGTTGCTGTCGTCACTATGTGCATGCATGCGCAGCAACAACTACAAAGCGGATAGACTAACTGCAGCAACTGCTGCAGCAGCAGTTGCTGCAGCAGCAACAGCAGCAGCAGCAGCAGCAGCTTTGCTGTTGCTGCTGCTGCTGCTGCTGCTGCTTTAACAGCGGCTCATATTGCCGGCGATTCAGAAACCTAGTTATTCCCTGCTGCTGGTGCTGCTGCTCCTGCTGCTGGTGCTGCTGCTCCTGCTGCTGGTGCTGCTGCTGCTCCTGCTGCTGGTGCTGCTGCTGCTCCTGCTGCTGGTGCTGCTCCTGCTCCTGCTGCTGGTGCTGCTGATCCTGCTGCAGCTGGTGGTAACGCTGCTGTTGGTGTTTCTGTTCCTGCTGGTGCTACAGCAGCAGCTGCTGCTGGTGCTGCTGCTGGTGCTGCTGTTGCTGCTGCTGCAGCATCTTCACTTCCTTCGTGTGCTGCAGTGCTGCCTTCGCTAAGAGGTGCTGCAGCAGCAACATACGTCTCTTGCTGCTGTGGCTGCTGCTCCTGCTGCTGCTGTGGCTGCTGCTCTGACTGCTGCTCTGGCTGCTGCTGTTGTTTCTCTAGCTGATGCTGCTGCTCACTTGGCTGCTGCTGCTGCTCATTTGGCTGCTGCTGCTGCTGCTCATTTGGCTGCTGCTGCTGCTCATCTGGCTGCTGCTGCTGCACATCTGGCTGCTGCTGCTGCAGCTGCTGTTTTAGCAGAGGGATAGCAGCAGCAGGACCTCGTAAGTAGAGTTCCTGCCTGGTGGGTTGCTGCTGCTGCTGCTGTGGCTGCTGCTGCTGCTCCTGCTGCAGTTCCTGCTGCTGCTGCAGTAGTTTTTGCTGCTGCATTTCCCTATGTTGCTGGATCCCCTGTAGCTGCTGCAGCTGTAGTTGCTGCCTTTGTATATGATGGTGCTGCAGTTGCTGCTGCTGCATATGTTGCTGCAGCTGGTGTTGCAGTTGCTGCTGCTGTCTTGGTAAGGAGGAAGGAGGCCAGGGTATATCCCTTAATCCCTTACCATTAGTTGTTAATATTAAGGGTTTATCTTTTTCTTTATTAGCTGTATATATATTATAACATTCAGGTGTATGTACACCTAAACCCTCTTGTATATACAAACAAAACCACATTAATGAATTTATTGCCTCAAATAATTCCATACCTAATGCCTACAAGAAAAAAAAAAAAAAAAAAAAAAAAT